TCGGGGTCGCTAAGCTAGTGCTCTTCAGTTAGGTAATAACTCATATATGGGCAGAGGCAGTTGAGTCCAATGGGAAGGTCCTGACCGATAGTTTGGACATTGCGAAGGCCTTCGATCGGGTTTTACACAAAGCTTTTTTTTCTAAGCTCTCTTCTTTGGACTTCTCGAGAAATTATGCATTTGGATCACCAGTTTTCTGACAGATCGAAGCATCAAGGTCATAGTAGACGGTGCATGCTTTGATTACAAGCCCATTAATGCTGGTATTCCACGACTCTGCATGCGGTAACATTAATTGCTATGCGCACGACAGCATTGGTGATGCATTATACACCGGCAGTGCCAATATTTCTTGGGAAAACGTCACCGAGTACACCGGTGACGTTTTCCCAAGAAAACGTTCTCTATACGTTATATCTATACGTTATTACTAGGTTTTATGCGCACTCAACTTCTTCAATTAAGGAAGTGTTTGCTATAATTGACGAGCTGACTGTAGACCGCAATACAAATTGTATCCCAGGTTTACGAAATGAATCAGTCACTTTATAACTCCCCATGCAACCGCTAACTTGACACACAAACAACGATTCATCTAATAACTTTACACCGAGTACAACTTGTGTTTGAAGTCGAGGCTTTGTTGAACAAAGTATCGCATTGGGGCCACTAAATCTAGACCAGTGCAATCTCCAGAAGACACAAGGTTGCGCGTTTACCGCTAAAAAGAACCTCTTTGTCGTATCTCCTCAGTTTCAGAGCATTCCCCTTGTTGCCTTGGCCAGTATTGTAATCCTCGGTGTCGACTTATCCAATGACGTGCAAATTCGTGATCACTTGAAGGCCAAATTGACCTCTAAAAAGCTTGGCATGCTCAGCAGAGTAGGGCACACCGCTTGCAACATTACAAGGCGCAGGCTCGGCCTCACATGGAATACTGTTCTCATCCAGAGATCAGCTCAGAAGCTGGGGCTCCCCTGTGCCAGCTCCTTCCACTTGACCGCATCCAGCGCAGAGCGGCTCGAATCATCGACGACCGAGTTCTCTCCGGTTGGCTCGATTTACTAGCGCTGCGAAGAGATGTTGCATCCCTTTGCATTTTCTATCGCATTTACCGCGGAACGTGCTCTGAGGAATTGTTTGAATTAATTTCAGCTGCCAAATTAACCAACGCACATCGCGACGAAACTTACGTTACCATCCACATCATCTGGATGCTTGTCTTCCACTACTCTGCAATTTACTAGGAGTTCTCTTCTTCGCACGACTACTTTGTGGAATCGTTTACCACCGGTGATTTTTCCGGACCGATATGACTTAGAGACCTACAAGAAACGAGCTTACTCCTTTTTAAAAGGCCGGCATAGCACCTGCACAACACATTGCTCTGGAGTTGCAATTGTTCATGGGCGGCGGTCGTCACTTACCGTCGGGTGAACCGTATGCTCGTTTACCCCCTCGGCAATAAAAAAAAAACATAGCTGTGTTAGCTCAGGCGCTTAACGCTCGTCGTACACAGTACGCGAGCAACCCAAGTTCAATACCCGCCGGCACTAATAAAATTGTTAATTATTATAATTGCACGCATTTAGGCAGTGTGGAAATTTGAGGTAGAGCAGATAGACGGTTTCGCTCTGTGATATCAACGTAAGATCTGTAAATTAACTTATGTTCACAAAGTAAACAGATTTGATTTGATTTGATTTGATTTGATTTGATTTGATTTGAAGAAAAACACTCACCATATTGTCACGTGAGTGTCATATGATATCCGATAGGTGGCAGTATGATCTACTCGTATGATGCCAAATCGAAAACCGGCTTCGGAGAGCAGCGTCAAAGGTGCTTACGTCTGGTACCGCGTTCGCCAGTCGGCTTTCCACTTCTGCCATTTTTTTATAAAATAAATGTGACAAACGAGCACACAGTACACCTGATGGTAAGTGGATGCTATGGCCCATACACATTTATATTTATCCTTGATTAAGAATAAAAATACAGATGCGTGAGTACTAATATGTACATAATTCCTCGTTACCATAATGATTTCTTATATTTCCGCGAACACTACACATTTAAACAAAACTAGTTTTAACGGATTTTATCGCGTATATTAACTTATTTTATATTCGCGCCGTATCGAGTACTTTTCAGCACCCATGGTCACGGTAGGGTCTGAGGTGTTCGACGTCCCAATATCATACGTGTATAACAGTCGTGGTTAACGACTACCTCCAGATTAAAATTATTAATTTTTGTTCTGATCTACGTAGTATGAACTTATCGATTATAGAAGATATAAGTATCTTGAAGTCTTGCAGTTGCTTGGATTGGGATTTAATTTTTATTAATTAACGTTATTAATTATAGGATCCCAAGCAGATGGTCCCAGCCATCTTCTCTATTGAAATTAGATTTTTTTTTTGATGTCAATAGCCTCGCGAATCATCCTTGGAAGCAATTGGTGTTCTTTAGCGAGGATTTGTGGTTTATAAAATCTGATGTAGTGACGATGGTGATCCTGTACGTCTTCACAGACTGCAGACTTCCCCGAGCTTCGATATGTATTCTTTCAACCCGCGTTATAGAACATATATCGACACGTATCGTTTTTATTGGTCTTTGAGTTTCCTATATAAGAGAGACCACATTCACAATCAAGCTTGTACACTCCTGCATCTTGCATAACGATATTACACTTGACCGATGGTAAAACTGACTGTTAAATAAGAAATTCCTAGTGTTTGGGTAACTTTAAAAAATCTCTTAAAGATATAATATATGACTTATAGACGAAATAAAGTTTGTGCCCAACAGTGGATAAATCCTATATTCCATCAAATCTAAGAAATACCTTTTGACAGCTGTCAGATTTATTGGACTAAGCATCATCATAATCATTACAGCCCATCACAACTCCACTGCTGAACATAGACCTCCCCCAAGGAATGGCACAAAGTAAAGACTGTTAAGAGATATCGATATCGACTCTTTAGTGTTGGTAACCATTTACAGTTTTATCAAGATAAATACAGAAAAAATTAGAAACACATAATTCAAAACACAAAATTTATCAATTTCTTCGTATTTATTGCTTACTGCTTATTTCTAAAGACAATCATAAAAATTTACTGCATTAGATTAAAAATAAACTTATTTAGTCACTTTCACTACAAATAGTTGAGCTGTTGTGCCATCATCGTTGTTTACATTAATATTATTTGATTATTAATTATACAGTCAAAATGAATATCTCTTTCTTACATAATTAAAAAATAAAAATTTAAATAATAAATTAAAATTTTTAAAGGTACCATTATTTAAAAATTTAATTGATCATGAATGAGCATTAGCATGAATTTGAATCATCCCAACTCGAGACTAAGTTTGTTACGGCCCCCGGCTGCCCCGGCAAAAGTCGTCTGGGCTAGGGCCCATAGTAAAACTGAACCCTCGACGAGCAACCGAGGGTTCGGGCCCAATGGCCTATGGATAGTTCTAAATTAATGGCTAATAAGCAAGCACAACTTACCAATTTAGGGTTGGGAGGTAGGGTTGACCACAGGGTACCAGTCAGGTGGTAAGTGATGTGCATGTAAGTAGTGTGTAGTAGTGTGTACATGTGTAACCTGACATCCCCGATGTAGTCGGACTGCAGATCCAAAGGCGCTGCTTCTCTCCAAATGTGCGACCCCTGAAGTGGTTGATCACCAATTGAAAACTTCTGCTATTATTTTCACTATATTTGTTTATCAACTTTATTGTACATTTAATTAACTTCAAAGTCAACCAAATCAACGTTCATCGAAATTAAAACAAGTGACACACGACACAAGTAAAGAACAGTCGATCAAAGTTCAATATTCAATATTCCAGGTTCACTTAGCACAACAAACACGAGAACGAATGCGGTCTCTTCTGGAGTCACAAAGTTCAGCGTTCTCCCGACAAGGCAAATGTCTTATCACGATATTAAAATGCCACACAAACAACTTGTCGTCGCAAATTAATGGCAATCAGTTAATTTAATCATTCAAAACTCCAGATAAGCCTCGCTGTCACGTAACGCTCAAAACAGACACTCTATTCGAGGCGGTCTTAACTAGACCCAAATATTCAATAGTAAATTCAAAACGCCGCGCACAATTAACCCAAATTTTCAAATCAAAACGCCAGCCGCGGGCAACCTAACTAACGGTCGCAAGCAATACTCAAAACGGTTACAACAATAATTATATGAGACCAGCCTCGTTGACACGTAAAACGAACTAAAATAGACAACACACAAAAAAGGCACTTAACGCGACGTTACAATTCAATATTAACTTCCAAAAGCAATTTCACTGACCGGCCGTCGCGCGACAATTATTTTTCTAGACTTCTACTCGCCCCGGTGTACGCGCACAATTAATCTATATCCAAGACGAAGCGATCTCCTCTCGGGTCACACATTCTTAGCGTTCCAAAACTCAAAAGGGCCTCTTGTCACTTAAAGCACAAAAAGACAATCAATAAGAGGCGTTTGTCACGCGGCCGACCGCTTCGCAAGTAACCGTCATACTGCAAAGGACACAGTCGTTAAATGCGACGCGCGCGCGCAACTGTCCCAGGCGGTGACCTGTAAATTCCATCGGAGGACACGCCGAGGCGAGCGTCTTGGAATGCAAGTTTCAAATATGGTAATATTTTGGCCTAAACAAAGTTACTTAACGTTATACGAGTATCATCGAAATAAAGTCATGCAAATAAGTTGATTCTGATTAAATTGTTTATATTTTGCTTTGTTTGAAAGATTCGAATTTAAATTAGTGATTAAGAACTACTACAAATACCTTAATAATTCTTGAAATTCACATAAAATGTTATTTTTAACCGAGTGAGTAAGCTAGTACATAGTTATTGTGAAATTATAATTAATGTGTAATGTTAAAAGGTATTTTTTAGATTTTCTTGAGTATAGCTTGAGCTGTAACTTTACCTTTTCATTTGTAAATTTTTAGACACTCGTATAACGAAGTTATCGCCCTCGTCGTCAGAGATGCAAGCACAAGAGATAATCTACGCACGGCCAAATAAACGCGGCGGCTTCACATACCGGCGACCGACAGCTGTGAGCCACCCGCCCGTCGAACCAATCGTCATACGCGTTCAAAAGTACAAAGTGGTACGCAACCGATAAATTAAACGAAACACGAATATATACTGAAGATTTGTAACTTATTTGTTTTTCTGCCGACTTCCAAAAACGAGACGGTACTCAATTCGACTGTATGTTTTTTTTTGTAAACCGATTTCGATGATTCTTTTTTTATATGAAAGCTGAATTTGATCAAGGTCAGACTAATTGTTTTTGAGTTATTCTTAAATAACTTATATTGTGGTCGGCTGTACAAAATTTTTAATTTTAAATTATGATTGTCAATCGACAACAATTCTTTAGTTCGATTTAAATCTTGACACATATAAACTTTTAGACATAATTAGTCATAACAGTCATCACTAAATAACATACAAAACATTATTTAAGAACAATTTAAAACCTATAACGTTCTTTTAGGTTAATATATATTGCTGACTATCAATAATACTTTCGTGACAGGGATCCATTTTTAATTAAAATTCATTATAATTATAATAATACCATTTAGATTTCTAGAACACCAACAGACATCCAATGTAATGTTTTAAAAAATGTTTCTTATTTAGAACTTATTCTTATGTTAGTACAAGGAATTACGTTATGTTTTAGGCAGTACATAATACATCTTAAGTTATTCATTTATTTTTAAATATTAGATATTTATAACAAGTATTGACGCTTCTTTAATTTTTGTACATAGTACTTTTTAAGAATTACCTTAGAAACCTACCATTCTTCTAAAGTGATTGCATTGTTTAAAACTGTATCATAATGTTGCTGTGACTTTATAATATATAATATGTAATTTATGTGTTGTAAATTTATTAAAATACGTTCCTTTCTAACTATCTATGTTTTAATTCGGCAATAAATTGATGTTGTTTAGTCAGCAGTTTCGCCCGCATGGCCAACCTCCACACGGGCTAAGCCTTAAGGCCTTAAGTAATATACAAATAGAATATGAAGGGTATGTAGAGGTATGTAGAGGTATGGGGGGTAAAGGTGACCATCCAAAAAGGAGAAGCATCTCTGTGTATGAAAAAGTGTTTGTCGAGAAGCGTTCAATTATAGCGTGGCGCTTCGATAGCAAGGGGGCAAATGTTAATTTCGTCCACTTGGACAACTTTTCACTTAACAAACTTTTCCCATTATTGTTCAATTATATTTTAAACTTTACAACAGTAAAAACAATAAAATTACGAAAAAGTATTAACAGAAGCTTACAAAAGTGAAATCACGCTCCCCGTTACATTAGCACTCACATATGTTATATTTAGTAAATTTCTTTGAACCATTTGAACTAAGTAAATACTTGGCGTTTTATAAACTGCAATATTCCCAACTACACTAGTCACCAGAGATATTAAATGTTTCAACTCAGCACACTTCACTCCGTTTACAACTGCTAAATTCATATTGTTACCCGGACTCCGGCACCGCTCCAAATTATGGTAATCTCCAGCGGCGTCACCCACGGTCAATTTCTTTCTTCTTCACTATTTCAGTCTATTAACTTTATTGTACATTTAACTAACTTCAAAACGCAATTAAATCCCGTTACTTATAATCAGAAACGTAACGCACAACACGAATACCGAATGTTCGGATCAAAGGTCACTTCCGTTTCGCGTGGCAACAAATTATTTCTAGAACCTAACACGACCTTCTCTAGTGTCACAAGGTCCAGCGTTCAACCGACAACGGAAAATGTCTCCGAACTATATCAAATGCCGTACGAGCAAATTAATATTGTCAAATGCACTTATATACGCTATCAAATTAGAATAACCAAATTCGCGGTAAATTAGGCGCGCACAACCCACAAATTCAGACGTTGATCGCAATCAATATTAACTTCCTAACAATTTGTCAACCCAGCGTCTAATTCTAGACTACAATTCCTCGTCGTTGCACAATTTGCTAACAAAACCGACTCTAAAAAATGGAGGTTATCCCGAGCGACTTCACGACGTGCTATAGATAGCACTGCATTCAAGCAACTCTCGTTGTGCCCTCGCGCCCTCTGCCAAAGCCACTCCACTCACCCGAACGTCAAAACCGGTATGGTACCGAGCCGAGCTCCCTCTGGCGCCAAATCTTGAAACCAGCGTTTGGGCGCGAACACATATAATTTCCCCTTGTTACGTTAGCGCTATTTTGGTGGGTTCTTGAACTATAATTTGATGCTTACAGCTGGACACTTTCGACTTGTCGCCCACATAAGTAAGTCCTCCTTACCTCTACCTATGGAGGGTAAAGGTAAGGAGGACTTACTCTGTGTATGAACAAGTGTCCGTCGAAATGCATTAAATTAGGATGGCGCTACAATAGCAGCAGGGTAAACTTTAAATGAATTATTTTAAATTAATAAATTTTTATTCAAACAAAAGTTCATCAAAAACAAAACTATAAAAAAAATTTACAAGTGTCAGTATTTGAATGAATAGATTATTAAAATACCCCAAAATATTATAATATATCATAAAAACGTTTTAAAATATTTTTATTTGCAAAAAAAAGTCTTTTAAAAATATTTAATCTACAACCCCTACATTCATACCATACCCTGTATCTACGCTAGTGCCATTCTGGAAGGTTTTTGTACTGTTATTTACAGCTTACAGCTGGACACTTTGTCATCTTGTCCCCCATATGAGAGAGTCCTCCTTACCTCTACCCTCTATAAAATAAAAATGCAGTTCACTTAGTTTATCAGAAAATTATAAAAAATGTGGTTGGACTACCGGTGCGGAACAAATCATTATTAAGGTTACATGTACTGTAACATTAACATGTAGAATACTTACGAGTATTGAAAGCCATTTAAACTTAATCACTGGTTCGAAAAAACCTCTGTCCTGGAAAGCTCTAGCGAAAAACCTAGCGGGACGTTTTTTTTTTAACATTAATTTAATAATAATAATAATAATAATAAAATAAAGATTTTTATTTGTCTCAATTCACACCTGGTTGTTAAAAGTGTACAAAAAAGATTATCACAAACTTATCTTATAAACATACATAGGTAACATAAAAACAATGACACAAACTGGCCTGTGACTCAGCTATGTGGTGATTTGAGATCACCGCAAGTATTCTGCCACAGCCGACTTTTAAAAAACACAGTATCTTAACCTAATGTTGGCATTGACGTGAAACAACGTAAAAAAAAGAAATGTATACTCATGTGTGCTATGCAAATCGGCAAATTTATATATGACACTTAATACCTGCTTCCAATCTTTGTTGTTCGAGTAACCAAACTTTGCAATTCTTTCGAAATGATTTTGTATTCACGATCTCCTGCAAAGGAGGAGGTATATTATTCCAAATTTTGGAGGCAGTATATTTGAAACATCCTTTCGCTTTAACACGCTTATAAGTTGGAAGTAGGTATATATAATAGTTTACCCCTTGGTCTCAAACGTGTTAGTTGTCATTTTGGAGATAATTTTTCATATAAATAATGAGGAGATTGCAAATTATTTAATGAGTGTACGAAACAAGCATATTATAGTTTTCTGTTAATTTATGCCGAAAACCCGATTGGAAATCTGGAAGTTTGGCATTCTCTTTCAGATAAGTAGTGATTTGTGACTGTGCACATTTCTCAACTATTTTTGACAAGACAGGCAATATACTTATTTGTCTGAGGCTATCTTCTGTTTCTTCGGTAAGGGTATGATCAATGAACACGTTCAAACATCGGCAAATACTCCTTCTAACAATGATTTATTAAAGATGGCTTCAATGGCAACCAAAGAGTAGGGTGATGTAAGCTTAATCATATATTCATGCGAATTTCATCACATCCTTTAGAGTTAATAGAAAAGGAATTAATAATCTTATGTAGCTCTGAAGCAGTCACTCTATTAAAATTGAACTCCGATAAGTTACTACGACAAATACTTTCAAATTTTTCAAAATAAAATATCCTTATAATATAAAATACTCTAAATACTATTGCATGTCTTAAGCGAAAGCGCAAGGTATGTTCTACTATCGCCTAAAAATTAAGATTCCAACGTTTTATCGAATAAAATCGTATCTAGCAATCATCATATTATACATATAAATGATATAAAAAGCACATTGTTAGAAAGATAAATGATTGTTGAACTTATTAATATTTTTTTTTAAATCGGTTAATTGCTATTTCAAAAAAAACGTTGCAATCTTAATTCTTAGGCGACAGTAGAACATACCATGCGCTTTCGCTTAAGGTATGAAATAAATAAAAAAAGGGCTTTTAGTGGCTTATGGTGTGAATTTATCATGTCCCCAAGGCTTGTAAACACGATAACTTTTGAAAATATCAATTGTTTAACTCAATCTATTTTTTAATATCTTCATCTATCATGTGGGAAGCCACTAAATGTAAATGGTAGTGTAATTTTGTTTTGTTTAGCTATAATTAATTTTTTTTGGCTCCAAAGTGGCGAAATTTTCGTTGATTTGGTAGCCTTGTATGTAAACTATTTCTGTAAATAGGCGGAAGCAGCACTCTGAGCTACAGCCGCCGTCACTCGCCGTCGTGAGTGGACATTGTTTCGGTTGTTTGCAGTAGCTCAAAAAAATCGCTGTACAAATACACACACAATATGCGAATAACCAAATTTTTAAATACTTGATTATAATAATAATAAGAGATTTTTTATAACAATATTTTAAAAGCACAGAATAAATAATAGTAGCACGTACTAAAAGTAAGTAGTATCAATTTTTTTGTCATGGGTGACATTTTCGTGGTTTTCGAGGGTGTTGAAACCGATAGGGTTGTCGAAATGTAAATCCAAGATGGCGGCCGTAATAGGTATCAATTTTTTCATTATGGGTGTCATTTTCATGGTTTTCGAGGGTGCTGAAGCCGATAGTGCTGTCGAAATGTAAATCCAAGGTGGCGGATGCAATATGTATAAATTTTTTCATCATGGGTGTCATTTTCATGGTTTTCGAGGGTGTTGAAGCCGATAGTGCTGTCGAAATGTAAATCCAAGATGGCGGCTGAAGTAGGTACCAATTTTCTCATCATGGGTGTCATTTTCATGGTTTTCGAGGGTGTCGAAGCCGATAGTGCTGTCGAAATGTAAATCCAAGATGGCGGCCGCAATAGGTATCAATTTTTTCATCATGGGTGTCATTTTCACGGTTTTCGAGGGTGTTGAAGCCGATAGTGCTGTCGAAATGTAAATCCAATATGGCGGCCGCAATAGGTATCAATTTTTTCATCTTGGGTGTCATTTTCATTGTTTTCGAGGGTGCTGAAGCCGATAGTGCTGTCGGAATGTAAATCCAAGGTGGTGGGTGCAATATGTATACATTTTTTCATCATGGGTGTCATTTTCATGATTTTCGAGGGTGTTGAAGCCGATAGTGCTGTTGAAATGTAAATCCAAGACGGCGGCTGAAGTAGATACCAATTTTCTCATCATGGGTGTCATTTTCATAGTTTTCGAGGGTGTTGAAGCCGACAGTGCTGTCGAAATGTATTTAAAATACTTTAAAAAATTCTGTATAATCATGTTATACGTAATTTTTTAATGCGCTTAAGGCATGCCCAATTGGATTTACCAATTTTATTTTATATAATTAAGTATGAAAACATTTAGAAACAGCATGGTAGCGATCAACTTATTCCCAGGGTTTATTATCAATTATCTACTCTTTAGTACTTAGTAAGCCTTAATACCTAATAAGCTATTAATACCTAATAAGCCTTATTAAACAATTTTTCCTTAAAAAAATTTGAACTTTTTATAGATAGGTCTTGCATATTTTCTAGGACTTTGTTACGGCGTTCAGCTGCCTATCTAATGGTAGGATCCTCCTAGGCCCATAGTAAGAAGAACCTACAGGCAGATACAGGTCGGGCCTTTAAGGCCAAAGTGGAAGTTCTCTAATTAAAATAAACAAAGGGGGAAAGATCGGTAAGAGAAAGGCACTTACCTGCCTCAGGAGCGGAGAAGGTTCACCAGGACCGGCCCGGCTGATGGAAGTGCCGTGAATGTATGTGTGCTTGTATGAATGTGTGTGTGTACGTGGCCTGGTCTAGATGACACAATGCTGTCCTGGAGAAGGTATCCGCTGGTAGCCTCGGAACTATTCCCCTCTTGAGGCACTCTTTCTGTTTTGTCACGTAATGGTACAGCCAAACGTAGAACTTCAGAGGAAAATCACTATCGGAGTTGCACAATTAATTTAACAGAAGTTAATAAGTCCTAAAGAATAATACGTGTTCTCGCAACGATTTACGCGGGTTGATACTTTCGTAACAAAATTAGGCGCGAAACTTAGACGTCAGTATAGATCGCAAAAAACTTTACAATGCCCGTCGAGAAATCTGGCCGATACCGCTGCGGAATGCGGCCGGGTGGGGGGCGGGTGACCTTGCTGTCGATGCTACGCACGCACGTTAAAGAATTACGTTTCAAAGGTATAATATTATTGCCTAAACAGACTTTGTTGTACATTAGCGCATAATAGGATTACTGACTCTTCGGAGTCGATTAACTGGTTTATCTAGTAAACGTGGTAAACTATGGGATAGTGAATTATAATGCATATCTTTTTATTTGAGCAGTCTGTGAGTACTCGTAAGGATACACGAAATGAACTTAAAACTATTAGAGTGTACGGTAAAATAATGTCTTTAGGGTGCTGTTGTGGCTGCCGAGTCGCTGTTGCGCGTCAGACACGATCGCAGAAGTACGCTGGACAGTTTCCATGTCCTAATGCGCAATAACTCTCCTTTACATCGTGTGCGCCACAGCGATAATGTTATCCTGAAAACGATATCCAGAAGGCAGCAAGGATAGACTGTCTTATACTGAAACTGAATGTGTGGTGTGTGGAAGTATATGGTAGCAGGAGTTAATAAATATTTCTTTTTATAGGAGAGGGGGCAAACGAGCACGCGGCTCACCTGATGGTAAGTGACTACCGCCGCCCATGAACAACCACAACACCAGGGGAACCAGGGGAATTTCAGATGCGTTGCCGGCCTTTTAAAAAGGAATAGGCTCTTTTCTTGAAGGTCTCTAAGTCGTATCGGTCCGGAAAAATCGCTGGTGGTAAACTATTCCACAAGGAAGTTGTGGAAAGAAGAAAACATCTTTTAAATCACACAGTGGTGGACCGCCAATCATCCAGATGGTGTGGATGGTATCGGGAGTTCTGCCGTGATGTGCATTCGTGAAATTTGGCGGCTGGAATTGATCTGAACAATTCCTCAGAGCACTCCCCGTGGTAAATGCGAAAGAAAATGCAAAGAATTGCAACATCTCTTCGCAGCGCCAATGAATCGAGCCGATCGGAAAGGACTCGGTCGTCGACGATTCGAGCCACTATGCGCTGTATGCGCTCAAATGGAAGGAGCTGGCACTGGGGAGCCCCAGCCCAGAGATGGAAACAGTATTCCATGTGAGGCCAAACATGCGTCTTGTAAAGTTGCAGGCGTTGTGCCGGCATGAAATACTGTCCCGCTCTGCTGAGCACGCCAAGCTTTTTAGAGGCCAATTTGGCCTTCTCTTACAATTTATTATTGATTATATCTACGAATTGTAGATTACATTGCCCTATATCTAGCATACTTATGTCTTGTATTTCTACTTATTTATTTATTTATTTATTTATTTATTGACACACCAACAGCATAACATACAAAACATTACAATAATCTTCGTCTTATAAATAGTTTGGTATGCATGCCAATTACTGGTGCATACATCACTCTCATTAGAAGACATTAAATTAATTTAAGTTCAAAATAAATTTCAATTTACAAATTTTGAGTTGCAGCAAATTAATAAGTAAAAATCAAAAATCAAAAATCAAAAGTATAACAAAAAGAAGAATTTTAGTAGCATAAATATTAAATTACAAATCTAATTTACCAACAAAAATGTGCGGTAAGCTTTTTTTTCAGATTTGTCACTGAGTCATGAAAAATATCAAAATCTTTATTTAGATATAATAATAATAAACAATAATATAATACCGCCCGCATCGCCTTCCTGTTTCTTTCGATTTCCTCCTAACCCTCAGCTGTTTGATCTCTCCTGCCGAGGGCTTCCATCTGGTTGGGCTTTCATTTATTTACGTATTTTTATTTATTTATGTTCGTAAATTTAATGTATATTTATGTTTATTTATCATTTTCTTTTATATATTTATCCAGACCAACCAGATGAGAATACTCTATGAATACCCCAAAATAAATAATAAAAGTCTTTATTCAGACAAGTACTGATTGATTCCATATTGACTTAAAACTAGTTTTGCTTCGTCATCCCTATCTGTTTGCTTCTTTCGACAAAAGCTTCTTCCAATTGTGACCATCAACAGTCGCGTTTATGAGCACTAGACCAACAAGGCAGTCAAGTAAGACCTTAAACTAAAGAAGTATAAGGGGGCGCTTACTCTTATCGCTTTTAGAGTGCTAAAAATAGACAATATTATGGTTATTATAATAACTATGAAACGAATACTATGATCAATATTATTGTGCAGAGATTGGCAAGATTCCTTATTTGCTAAATAGTTATTTAGATCGTAGGAAGTCATTCAGTGCTCTTTGTGAAATATGTAATTACTAACTCTTGAGTAGAGTGGCTTCTTTGAAATTGCACATTTATATAGGAAAATAAAAATAAAAATCATAACTGGATTCACCGGTACCTCATAGGCCGTGTTTATCACATTAACAAATTGCATAATATGGGATTTACTTCTTATTTTCTTATTCAGTACCAACGTAGTTACTTTTAAATATAATTTTACTTAAGTACTTAGTTATTTGATTTGTTGCTACTGTTTACAGTTTTCGCGTTTTGATGTCGCAACTAGAAAACTGATTAATAATTATTGTCCTAGGCAATCAAATAATACACGTAATGAATTTAAAACGTAATAAATTACGTCTTTTAAAATGTGGTTATTGTTGTTTTAGTAGATATGATGTAGAAAATGATTTGAAATTAGTAGAATTCTGCTGAATATAGTATATTCTAAGTCTATGATCACAGAACACAATTATTACTCTCTACCGCATTGATGAGTTTTGGCGGGAAATTGACCGGCGGCGGTTTGCTGCTCCTGTATTATTGTTTAAATAATGGTTTGAAGTGGACTTTGATATGTAAAAGTGTTGCGATTTTGTGTATTAAGTGTCTACGCATGTGAACTATTAGTGGAAACAGTGAAACAAGTGCTCTGATGGTGATGGATTCTCAAGATAAGCTGTTTGTTTGCATAGGCACCTTTAGATACCATCGCCAACTATCAGCTGTCTGCTGGATCAAGTTGCCGCCAAAATCTCCCAAGAACTGCACAATGTGACGCATCAACATATTTTGAAGCAGTATACTATGAAGGAGTGGGGAAATTACAATAAACCGAATAAAAATACTTAAGACTTGGCCTAAAGGTCTAGATACCAGGCCATAAACTCCAAAAAAAAAGAAAAAAAATCTACCGCATTGATTGTTGACAATGACAACTTATCTATGGTTGACAGTTGACACCTGGATAGAAATTTGATAAATGCCGCGCAAAATGCAAACTTATTTTATTTATTTTTATTTAGTAATTTGTAAATTATCTACTTATCTAAAATAAAATTTAAATGTGAAAATGCCGCGTGTTAAAATTGACTATATTGTCAGCGTTAGCAGCGAAGATCCCGTAAGATAAAATTATAAATGAACAATATTCATTAAAATAATAATAATGTTAAATATCGAAAATAAAATCTTCCAATGAGATTTTGACATAGTTTAGCACTTACACTTAGCAGTTCTAAGTTTGAATTATATTCATTTCTGTAATTTTTGTGTTATTTTTTGTTTGATAAAAATATAACGGTTTGAGGACAATTCTACTTCTTAGTTCTGCTTAATTTTTCTATTTCTAGTTTTACAGTAATCATATATTTTGTATAATCATATGTCTGAAAATGCAGTAATCTGATAATTTTTCTGCAAATTATTCATTTTTCTAAGAATTTTCATAAATAAAAACAATTTTAATTTTTAAAACAAATTTCAAGAATTATAATAGGTTGCCCCATCCCATTACCGTTACCTGAACGACGTAATCCAAAAGACTTGCTTCTGGAAATTTAATCTGGGTTTAAGAGCCTTGTGGAATACTCAAAGATGGGGGCAGATCCAATGGTATGACTTTGGTCCCATGTTATGTAGACACCTCAGTGGCCCCTCATCTCAGGGGTACCATGTTTAGAGCCAGGGCAGCATAAGAGGTAGCTGAACTTGGAAAATTGTACAAATATGAGTATCTGAGAGATGACTATATGTTTGTGTTATTTACTGCAGAGTGTGATCTTTGCACTGAAGTTTCTAAACAAATCCTATCTATCACTGCTACTACTGGTGATGAGAGGACTGTTACTTTTTTCACTCAAAGGCCAAGTAAAGCCATTCAGTAATTTATACATTTGTAAACATTAAGTTATAACAATAGATAAATACAGCGATTAGCTAATTAAAGAGATTTTTGTCTTCTACAAAATGTTATTTTGTCAGGAACAAAGTAAATTGAGCCGATTCTAGTGGTTGGCAAAAATGAAATATAATTGATCAGCAAGTAAATGATATTAGGCAATCTTAAGATTTATGTCATAGGAAATTCAAATCATGATTCAGATTTTATCAAATTATGGCATGCTGTAAAGTTAATTTTGATTTGAAATCAGTTTATTTCTACACCAACAAATAAGTGTTGTTTTTGCTGCATTGAGTTATAAGAAAATCATTTATTACATTCAATGGAGTGACTACTCTCTACTATTTGAAAATAAATTAAAATAAAACTGGGAAATCTAACCTAAATAATTACATAATCCAAAATTAATTATGCACTAAATTGCTATAAATAAATGCATCTTTTCCTTATTTAATTTATAAATAGATATTACTAACTATACTATTTTTATCACATATATTATTATTTATGTAAATGTATATAAAACTATTAAACGGAATTTTAATATTTTTAGGTATTAAATAAAACTAATTTTATGGATTTTATTGCATATATTTTGCGTTTTATTTAAATGTGTAGTGTTCGTGTAAATATAAGAAATCATTTTTAGGTATTAATTAATTATAATTAATTTACTTAAACATTTATGTGTTCAATGTATTCAACAATATACATTATCAAGCTGATCAAATATCTACTTATTTTCTGATAATTCTTGATTTAGTTACTGATGATGTATTGCTGGTAGTTTTATTTACGGTCAACAAAGATATATTGATGCTGATATAATAACTTTTAGCTGATTTTTCTTGCTGACCAAATATTTATAAAAATACCATTTAATTAATTGCCATAAATATATATCTATATTAACTTTCTAACACTAGGAAAACCAAGCAAATAATCTACTGGCAGGGGAGGTGAGCAAAAAGAAGTGGCTTTGTCAAAAGAGTGAACAGTCTTCTTCCGTTGTGCTGCAGCTCGCTCGTGCAGTTACGGTAAAATATGACTTTACTTATCGAATTGAAACTTCCTTATTGACTTACTGAAGAAATTTAATATGATATTAAAAATCAAAAAGTTACGTTTTCTTGTAATGTTTCATTGCCGTGTTTTATTTATTATAGTTTTTATAAACATGGTTCTTGAATGAGGTCCCGGGTTCGAATCCCGGATTGTACCAAAATTTGGACATTCTTGGTAGCAAACGTGGTAGATCCATGCTGCAGCTATATTACTGGTATAGTTGTTGCACGAATGGGTCGGCTCGACCGGGGAAGGACCACGCTCTCACAGAATACCAGCGTAAAATAGCAGCATAATGCTGCTGTGTTTCGTATGGTGAGTGTAGAGAACCGGAGTCCCTTTTTAATGAAAACGAGGCATTCCATCTTAGTCCTCACGGGTGACAACGCATCCGCATTTAGACTCGTAATCGAGTATAGATGTAGATGTCTATGAACCACAGCAACCACTTACCATCAGGTGAACTGTGTGCTTGTTATGCATCCTAATTCTATTAAAAAAAAGCAGCCTAGAATCAGGAAGTTGGCGTAGTTGCACCCCCACCTCGCAAAGCACGTGAAGCCCTAAATCCTACGCCTGATCTCTCTTCGGTCATGTCAGATTACCTATCGGTCTATGAGAGTGGGGGTATAGAGAGTGTACCTGGGCACACTCGGGCATTATAATCTTGTCCTGCGCAGATAGCTAGTTTCCGTTAAGACTGGTTGCCGTGACCGAAATTCGGTTTGGAGGACATTATTATAGTCATATATTATTATCATTTACAAGAGATATTAATAAACATAAGAGAACTCGTAATGACAATACCAACATTGTCAACATTGCATTTACATGCTAACATTGTAGCTGTTGCTTTATGATATTAAAACTTAAATCCCAAATTAAAGCCCGGTTTTTTATAAAGTAAAGTTGACAAACAAACATACAGTCCACCTGATGGTAAGTGGATACTGTGGCCCATAGACGTCTACAGTTCAGATAAAAATCTAAATGCAGATTTGTTGTCACCCCTAGGAGTAAGATGAAATGCCTCATTTCCAATAAAAATGGGCTCTGGTACACTAAACTCACCATATGAAACACAGCAGGGTGCATGTTGTAGGCTGTCCTTCCACTCATTGCTGAGCTGGTCTGTCCTGATTATCCTCACAGATACCACTTCCTTACCCTCTTGCCTAGTACAATGCTTGCAATCTTCAGGACACGGTCTTTTTGACCATGCATCTACGTTGTCATGAGATTTTCCGCTGCACTGGGCGGTGCTGTTAGCCGCACTACCCTCTCGAGATCGATCACCTTCCCTTTCTACAGTTCGCTTAAGGCAGCTGAATCGAAGATGGCCCATCTCCCCACAGCCGTAGCACCTAGGCCTATATCCTTTACTGCGGTCACGAACTATAGCTGCTGCAACCTCCCTGACGCGATAGCAACGATGATCCTGTCGCACGGCTTCCGCCTCCAGTGCATGGGCCAACGCGTCCTTAAGCGTCTCGTGGTGCCTGAGCCTCACAGCAGCTCTGACTTCAAGGTCGCGGATGCCGTCGATGAATATCTGCACCAGGTTCCCTACAATGAGCGCAGGTACAGACTGGTACGCTTTTCGAACCAGCTTCTCCACCTCAAGGGCCCACTTCTGCAGGTTTTCGTTACTGCGTTACACGCGATCTTTGAGCTGCGCACGAAAGACGTTCCAGGTGAGCGTCGCCATATCTCGCCTCCAATGCCTCAAGTAGCTGCTCGTAAGTCACTTCATTACCGCGAACTCCCAGAACAGTTAAGTTAGGGTGAGAGCAGTCATGGCCTGACTTTTATTCCAGCTGTTCGCTTTCATAACAGCCTCGGACTGGTTTTTGTAGGCCGACCAGGAAGAAGTCCCGTCGAACGGTGGCACTTTGAATCCACGTAGCGAAGGTGTCGTAGCTATCACGGGAGCAGTAACTCCATCCCTAATTTTGAGGTCGTCCAGCGTTTTCTTCACGTCAACCATCACGTTGTCAACCCGATTGTTCACTTGGTCGATTCGGGTTTCAGCTTCCGACAGGTGGTTGTCATGTTGAGCAACCCTATCCTTCACCTCCTTTATCTCTTTCCCGAAGGTAGCGTAAAGGTCCTTCATGAGGAGAATCTGCTCTTCCTTATCGCGTTTGAGCTGCTTTTCTAAGCAACGGGCCTGTTCCTCCTGTCCGCGCTGCAGCTGCTCTTCCAACCGACGGGCCTGATCCAGCAGCATCATCATCAGAGCACCTAAATCAGGTGCTGCAGATGCAGGAGCTGCTGACGGGCCGGCCTCCGTGGTCAGCAGCTGGCCCTCCGACGTTTGCCGCGTTGCATTACCAAATCGTCTCTGGTCCGTCTCCAGCTGGCGTTGACTTCGGGTACGGATACCCTCCGTGTCGTCTTTAAGTAAAATCGGCATATTTGAACCCACTTCTGACACCAATTGTTACGAGCTTGGGGTTCGAGACAATTAAAAACTGCCGATTGAATTACCAAAATTGACATTTTAATTACACAACACTAATTACAATCTAAAACCACACTAATAATAAAACACAATTGTACTACTGATCACTTAAGTTCGCAGTTGTTTCGCTTCGAAGTATTCTCTTGTATCGCCAATTCAATACTCCTTGGTCGTGGTTTATACCGGCCTTATATAGGGCCTCAGATAGTTTCCAGAACCTTCTACTGTAGCGACATCTAGAATGTTCGAGTACATATCGGTCCCGAAATTTCTGGAAGGATCTTGCCTCTCCTAGTTCTGCTACTCGACACTAGAGGGCGCTAGTGTAACTAGTGTTGCCATGTACAAGACATTAATAGTGGCGCGCAACAATATCATCATCATCATCATCATTACAGCTTATCAAAGTCTACTGCTGAACATGTAGGTTATAGTTTACCTCATAAGGATAGTACTTGCCATAGTTGCCACGATTATCAGGCAGGTTGTCAACTGCAGTTTTTCTTTTCGGAATTAGCCGCTACCCATCTTCTGGTTTGTTTCCCTCTATCACCTCTCATAACACCCGTGGCACAATATTGAATAATGGATATTCTTACACTGTCACTACATGGTCAAAATTATAATAAATTAGATCTGAATATTATTATTATTTTTATTTTTATCTTTTATGCCAATTACTTAGTGTATTGGTATTGAAACAAAAATTCTACTTTCAGATATCTGCAGTTCACATTGGAGCACATCATGCAGCCTTTGTTGAGGTACTGGTGGGATCGTCTGAGCGACCTAACGATCAATATCAAGTATGTTCTGACTAAGTAATATTAAAATATTCTTGTAACAGACGAAGTATGTTAATAATTTGGAACCAGGTCTTTACAAATCTTCCTATTTTTTTTAACTACGACATTAGCCAGTGCTTGACTTAAGATTAAGACTTAAGTGGTGATGCAGCTAATGATAGCAAAGCTCACTGAGATAGCTTATTCATTCTTGCCTTACAGACACCCATATTGTTATCACACCATTGCACTGCAGTTGCTTGTAATGATATACTCTTGTTATAAAGTTTTAAGGAATGTGTGACAACAAAATTTGCCCTAATCCCCGAACATTGACCCGCAGAGTTTGGAGAGGGCTATGCTCGGAATTAGAGAAGAGAATTAGAATAGAGAGCCGTGGTAGCTCAGATGGTTAGCGCTCGCTGTAAGCTTCACAGTACTCGAGCAACCTGGGTTCGATCCCCGTTGGCACCAATGAAATTGTAAATTGCAATTTTAAGTGCTGATTTACATCGTGCTCGGCGGTGAAGGAAAACATCGTGAGGAAACCTGCATGTATGAGAAATAAGAAAAAAATATTTCGAAGACATGTGAAGTTCGCCAACACGCATTGGCGTAGCGCGCGGACATTTCCTTGCCCTAAAACCCTCTCAGAAATGAGGGGATGCCTGTGCCCAGCAGTGGAACGTAAATAGGCTGCAACTTTACTTTTATGCTCGGAATTTCTCTGTGTGATAGACTTCGTAATTGATAAAGCCCAGTAAGTTCAGTAAACTGAACTGTCAATGAGCCGGCCATATAGCTAGAAGAACCGAAAACTGATGGGGGGAAAAAAGTTTCTCGAGTGGCAGCGTCATACCGGTAAGCGAAGTATTGCGTGGCCTACCACTATATAGCGTAAAGACCTATTAAGACATGCGGAAGACGATGGATGCAGGTGGCTCAGTACCACGCTTTATGGCATTCCTTGGGGGCGGCCTATGTACAGCAGTGGACTTGTGATGGGCTGTAATGATGAATGATGATGATGACACAACTAATCCCATACATAAATTAAAACCAACCAACACGACCAAAGTCGGTGTGCTACGTAGTAATGTCAAGATAGTATTTAAGGTACACGTCGACCAATGCGGAGACGGTGTGAGCAATTGTTTGGTGAAGCTGGACAATTGTACTACGAAAGGTCGTATTGCGAAATTCAAAAATAAATTGCCTTACTCTTTGCCTTATTTCTAACTTAAAATGAACAACTATGAGTACAAGTATAATAACTACCTAATTTTTTTTTAATATTTTCTCTATTTATTCATTATTTTATTTAGTATTATTATTATAGTTCATTTTTTTATTTACCATGTATTTTTAAGTACTTTTGAAATGCTGATTGATTCGGTCTCGGCCAAGATTTCTTTCTCTTTCGTTTTACACCAAAAAAAAACTAGTCAGGTCTGACCTTACTATTCAGTGGATTGTAAACCCATTTTATCACACTTTCATATTAAACACACTGTATTTATTTTATTGAAAACTAACTGATACCCGGCGCGTTGCAACCGCAGAAGAAATAATTGCGGAAATATCGTTTTAAATTTGGAAGGGTTATATTGTTGAATTGGGTAATGATGATACATTCAATGAAGTTGAATGATATATAATTTTTAAATAAATTTGTCGGTACAATACCAGCGCCAATACGTAATTTAATTGTACTATGCCTATAACCTTTGCGCAAGTGCAAGCAATAAGTTGACAAAATTTTACCGCAATGTGATGAACGGTATGGCAGCGCAAACAAAAACTAATTTTTATACGATATATAGATTGCAATAAAGGAAATTGTAACCTGGCCTTTAAAAAAAGAAATGAAAGATCCTAGAATCTTGTCGGTTCTTCACTGAGGTTTTGTTTTTGCGAGTTGGTGTAATTTTGATGTTCATAGGAGCTTTAAGCAAGCCTAAATTGAAAAAAAAAAATGTAACTGACATAGTTTTTAATGTGGTACACAGCCGCACTGCAGCTATATTATGGCTGCGGAATGAATGAGTCGGCTGGACTGGGGAAGAACCACGCACTGACAGAATACCAGCGTAAAACAGCAGAATAATGCTGCAGTGTTTCGTATGGTGAGTGTAGAAACCTGGTAAAACTTACTGCCTTCAGGACGCATTTAATTGACGGTAGATGTATTGTAGCCACTGCATCCACTGGACTGTGTGTTCATATGTCACCCTTAATCTATACATATAAAATTGAATTATCTGTCTGTAATATTGAAATAACTGGCTTCTATTAAGCTCGGAGAGTTATTTGCATGCTATTAAGACATAAATAAATAACCATTTATAAAAATGTTGTCTGTCTCTGTTTGACTGTCTGTCCGGGCTAATCGTCGGAATGTCATTACCAATTGTAATGACACTTCACAAACATAGAGAGCAATGCCACGAGTGATCTAGGCTATATTTTATTCGAAAACCTTGGAAATTAAAAAAAAACTAAAACAAATATTTTAAATCTTAATAACGCCATATTAATAAATCCTCGCGGCGGGTCGCTAGTATAAATGTAATAAAATGAACAGGACATCATTGATAGTACTGTTGTGCCATTTCGCAAAGGTTCTGGTTCCTCGCTGCGTGTTCACCAGCCCAGGTGAGTCCAGGCGAGATGTGCCAGTGGATCGCGTGCGCTCCTTCAGTGGGGATCAGTTGGCTGTGAAGCCCAACTCCCGCTGGGACCGACTCAGGGTCCTGTGCTCGCAGCCATACAATAAACATTGCCAGGTAACAATAATCCATCCGTCCGTCCATTTCACCCTGTAAAAGCCCACTGCTGAACTGCCTTCCTCATAGATTATCTCATAAGGGGGATGTTCGCGCAAAACTCTGTTGTCGGAATCGACACCAGATGTCACTCGGCTCGGCGCGATTCCGGTCTGAAGTTCTTCCGATCCTGGCAGTGGCGCGCGGGTCGCAAGCGGATCAGTCATCTGCCAGATGTGCTAATGTTTGCACGCTGTTAATTTTGTGCGGGAACCGCGGAATAGTTAGGGCGTCTAGTAAATATCCTGTCTAGGAATTATAACGCGCATTCCCTGTTTGGATAGCCTTTCCCGGGACTTATTGGGTCCGACTCAGAATCTGTATAAGTGCATTCGACAATATAAGCTAGTGCGGCCTCGGTATTTAGAACTGTTGCCACGCGAAACGGTAGTGACCTTTGACCTAGAAACTCCGGGCGTGTTTTGTGCGGTAACCTTATACCCCGCGATAGTTAGTGGCTTCTGTAAGCTAGTTAATCGTACGATAGAGTTAAGTGACTGGCATCGTGGTGAACCAAGAAAGTGACTGTGGATAACCTCGAAAGGCCCCCTCAAGTTGGAGCGGTATCGACGCTCGGGCTGCTGCCGACGGCTAAGGTCTAGGTTCAATCACCATCAGTCACACCCAGATACACACCACATCACCATTCTTTCCCTTGCACTACACAACCACATGCGACCTGACCGACTCCGGAGGAACCAGTCGCCTTGGATAGAGGTAAGTGAACTCCGCCAAATTCCTTCCGGTCGACTGGCCGTAGTATAACGCTCCCCCATATATTTAGTGTAATTAGAGAACTTCCACGTGGCCTTAGGAGGCCCGACCTACGTTTGCTCGGGAAGTCTTCTGCTGATGGGCCCCGGGGGATTGGATCCTTTAAGGGAGCAACCGTAGGCCGTAACATTTGGTAGCAGAGCGTGGTTCCGGGTTCGATTCCCGGTCGATCCCGACTATAGTGTTTGATAAACATTAAACAATTTTGGTGGCAGGGAGCGTCGGTGTGATTGGTTTAATTTGCATCTACAATCACGCCCGTCCGTAATACGTAAAAATATTTTTTTTTGTACGTAATAATAGAATTATTTTCCTTTGTTGCTTTGTTGCTTGCCTTTTTTGTGGTTAGAGGGTAATTTGAAAAGCCGCGCCCTAGGTTGGGCAAGCGGGAGTTTTTCTAGAGATATACGTCATGTAGGTAGATGGTTATTTTTACGTAATCGGTTAATTATCGTTGTCGGAGAGTTGTAGTGGATTACTTATCGAAGGGTCGATTTCCGAGCTAGGCATTTTTGTTGATCGACCGTGATGTGTATCTTCGTTTATACTGTAATTTGTATTTGAACTAAAGAGTAGTAATTTGGATTTTTACGCCATTTGAATTTAACTTGATTTGGTCGCACTAGTATTTGTTATTGTTAATTTGATTTGTGTCTTTTCTTTGGTGCTAACTTGTATTTGGTTGATACGTAGTAATTCGTATTTGTGTAATTTCTATTCAACGCTATTTGATAGGAACTGCATTTATTAACTGTTAATTTTTTGGTATATTTTTTATTTGTTATCTTTGTAATTTGTGCTCGAGCCGCGTCGTAATTTGTATTTAATAGTGATGACATCGCCCAAGCTACTGATCCGTTGTTTGCGGACTGAGCTACGCTGGGCCACAAGCGCCCATGCTTTGATAGGTCGACCGGATAGGGTCCATAACTTGATGAAGCGGTTCGAGCAGGTGGATGCTCGAAGGGCCGCAGTGGAGGAAGCTTACGCTGAGCTCGAGGATTCGGATGTGGAGAAGGGAGTCCTGGACTCTTGCTTTGCGGACTATGAGCAGTTCTTGTGGCTCACGGACGAGTTGATCGAGGCTGAAGGCAGGTATGCCGAGGAGGCGCGTGAAGCTCGGATGAGTAACCTGCCCGAGTCCTCTCTGAAGCAGCTTCAGCCGGAGCTGTTGGGACGACTCCCAACTCTGGACCTGCCAAAGTTCTCCGGGGTCCTTTCCGAATGGCTGACCTTCGTTGGTCTTTTCGACAGCCTAGTGGACGCCCGGAGTGACTTGACCCCGAGACAAAAGATGGCGTACCTCCTGGCCTCACTGGAGGGGGAGGCCCTGGGCGTCGTCGGCCACTTGAAATTGTCGGACGACGCCTACCAGACTGCTCGGGACCTCCTAGCCAGAAGATACGCCAACGTCCGGCGAATTGCAGACGAGCATGTTAAGCAGCTTCTAAGCCTCCCGCTGCTTAGTGACCGGGCCAGACTGCGTCCGGACCTGTTGGATCCAGTCTTGGTGGCCTGTAATACGTTGAGGCGGCTGGGTTTACCAGTGGGCGAATGGGCCTTTTTGTTGTTCCGCATAGTGCTGTCCCGTCTACCTCTCGACCTTCGAATCCATTTTGAGGAGAGGTACGGCGGGGACGAGGCCTCCTATATTCCGCCCTTCTATGATCTGCTGCGGTTTTTAGAGGAGCAGTGCCGGCAGATCGAGAACGCGGCGGGCACCGTTGACGACTTACGAGACGTGCCCAGTGAGAGGCTGAACCCGCCAGGCAAGTCGTCGTCAACCTCCCCCTGCTCCTATTGTCGAGCATCTGATCACCGGGTAACGTTGTGCCCGAAATTATTAGGTAAGCCGGTTCCTGCGAGGCGAACTATCGCCAAGGAGCGCCGCTGGTGCTGGTCATGTCTGGGAGGGCACCTCCAGCGAGACTGTCCGCATCGACGGCCCTGTCTGCATTGCCAGGGCAATCACCATGCCGTTTTGTGCCTGGGTGCGAACGGCGTCTCCTCTCGGGGCTCTGCCAGGCCCTCGACCCCCACGGGCGGGGGCGCTCAGCCACGCCCTCTGCTGGGCGACAATCGGCGCTCGCCGGCCAGCCACCAGGCCCCTAAGTTTGAAAGGGGCCCCTCCCCCAAGCAGTTGGGGGGTAATTCCCCCAGGGGCGGGGGTGTCATCACCCCGCCTCAGCGTGTGGAGAGGAACTTCACGGCCACTCATCGGTCCGCTGGACCCTTCTCACTTCCGTTAGCTGAGTGGCCGCGACTGGTGTACCACTGTTCCCCATTTGATGGAGGCGGCCCTGTCTAGCTGCTGCCTAGTTCCCACCACGGCCGCCTCCACTGAGCCTTAAGCCGTCAACAGTCCACTTGTCAAAATGTTCTGTTGCCGACGGCCTCAGTGAAGGCGTACAACCCGAGTGGCAACTGTTAAAGGTTGTGCTCTATTTATCTCGGGTTCACGCCATGTGGCCTCCCCTTAGTGGTGGGAAGATTAGGGCCCCCTCTGGAGCGTTGAATCACGTTGTCAAGGGGTATTAGATTTGGTTTGGTCGAGCACTTAGTCAAAAAATACTTGAATTAAAATTAAAAATTGCTTTGGGCTTTCCGCGAAATTCTCCTATTTGTAGCGGTTTAAATTAAAAGAATTGAATTTAATCTACTCCTTTAAATGCTACTGCATGTGTTTTGTACATATATTTAATCACTGTATTTGATTGTTGCGTTTGTTTGCTGAAAGGAAAATTTGAATTCATCTGAAATGGAATGGCGCACTATTTGAAAAATTATGTTTATGTTTATGATAGTGTTTAATCATTTTTGTTTTCTAAGAAGTAGGGCTGTCCCTTACGTTATTGTTTTGTTTAATTTGCAAGTTGACCTATGCGCATCGGTGATTAATTTGGTTGAATTAATTCTGTAGTTGAACATTGATGCTTTTGAAAAATTAGTTGAAATATGAGCATAGGACTACTTGTCTAACAGGCTAGCTAGTTTGGAGATTATCAGATTGAAATCAGCTGCCGCACTATTTTAGTAAATGATAATATGGTGGGTGGCCTGGCTAGGCCTACTTGTTGAAAATTCATACTAGGGACTATCTGTGCGTTTCGTTCGGCTCTCCACAGACGACGTTCATGTGGAATTTGTGGGTGCTCTCTGCACTGAAGCTTAGGAGGCCGCTCGAGGCCGCTTCGTGTCGCGTCACTGTTTGCAGAGCTGATCCGGTCGGATTGCGGAACTAATCATAGGGGCACAGATAGGTGTTTGAAAGAGGTCGTCGGACTTCTGTCCAGTACAGGACTTATTAAAGTGCTGCGATGCCCAGGAGGGGCATCCAGTGGAGGCTGACCCTCCGGCTTGCCACATTAGGGATATCTTTGAGGCGTTGATTAGGGTTGCAAGACCTAATGGATTGCCTAAGGTGGCCTAGTTTGGTTGTAGATTCGGTCTTGCAACTTGCAGTCTCGACCTTGTCCCGCTGACCGGTTTGCTCGCGGACCTAAATCCTTATGTCCGGGACGGGGGTTTGTTCGCGCAAAACTCTGTTGTCGGAATCGACACCAGATGTCACTCGGCTCGGCGCGATTCCGGTCTGAAGTTCTTCCGATCCTGGCAGTGGCGCGCGGGTCGCAAGCGGATCAGTCATCTGCCAGATGTGCTAATGTTTGCACGCTGTTAATTTTGTGCGGGAACCGCGGAATAGTTAGGGCGTCTAGTAAATATCCTGTCTAGGAATTATAACGCGCATTCCCTGTTTGGATAGCCTTTCCCGGGACTTATTGGGTCCGACTCAGAATCTGTATAAGTGCATTCGACAATATAAGCTAGTGCGGCCTCGGTATTTAGAACTGTTGCCACGCGAAACGGTAGTGACCTTTGACCTAGAAACTCCGGGCGTGTTTTGTGCGGTAACCTTATACCCCGCGATAGTTAGTGGCTTCTGTAAGCTAGTTAATCGTACGATAGAGTTAAGTGACTGGCATCGTGGTGAACCAAGAAAGTGACTGTGGATAACCTCGAAAGGCCCCCTCAAGTTGGAGCGGTATCGACGCTCGGGCTGCTGCCGACGGCTAAGGTCTAGGTTCAATCACCATCAGTCACACCCAGATACACACCACATCACCATTCTTTCCCTTGCACTACACAACCACATGCGACCTGACCGACTCCGGAGGAACCAGTCGCCTTGGATAGAGGTAAGTGAACTCCGCCAAATTCCTTCCGGTCGACTGGCCGTAGTATAACGCTCCCCCATATATTTAGTGTAATTAGAGAACTTCCACGTGGCCTTAGGAGGCCCGACCTACGTTTGCTCGGGAAGTCTTCTGCTGATGGGCCCCGGGGGATTGGATCCTTTAAGGGAGCAACCGTAGGCCGTAACAGGGGATTTTGCCATAGTTGTCACGCTTGGCTGGCGGGTTGGCAACCGCAGATTTTTAATTATTTTAAATTATAATCAGGAAGATGTTGTAGCCCATCACATACATTAGTAAACATTTATTTATAAGCCTGGGTGCACTGAAATAAACAAGAGTGGTACCAGTAGTGGTAGAGACATGCTGCAGCTATGTTATGGTTGGGCTATGAATGGGTCGGCTCGATCGGGACACGCTCTCACGGAATACCAGCGTAAAATAGCAACTTAATGCTGCTGTGTTTCGTATGGCGAGTGTCGAAAAGCGGAGACCTTTTTTTACTGGAAACCAGGCATTCCATCTTAGTCCTCAGGGCTGACAACGTATCTGCATTTTGATTCTTAGCGAGGATAAATAAGAGAATAACGAGGATAAATAATAATAGATAACAAAGATGTCTATGGGCCATAGTATCCACTTACCATCAGATGGACTGTGTGCTCGTATGTCACCCTTATTGTATTAAAAAAAAAATTAATTACCATGAATAAATTTACAATGAGTAATGCCACACACTGAAATAACCATAAAATTACATGGTAGTATAATAATGAATGGGCTCTAGCTCAGCATAAATGTTGCATGTTTCAGTTTGGGCTCTCTTTCATTCATATATATGAACCAGAGGGTATTGCGAGCTCAGTGGAGCCGCAGCCAGTAGCTCCCGCTGTTACGGCTTCTGGCATTAAGAATAAACTTCTTGAACTTGGCACCTACTCTTCAGACGAGGATGAGTTCCGACCGGGAGAGCTATTCGCAAGGCACCGACAAAGTTTGAGCCAAGACGATGCCAATACTCAGAACTTGAATACAGGTCAGTTACACATCGTACAGATTTTTGTCAGAAGAACATTAAATTGTTCAGTAGATACAGAACAATTTAATGTTCTTCTGACAAAAATCAGTGGGTACTTTTCAACCTAGGAAACCATCAATAGGACATAAAAAGGCTATCACTTTTGTATACTTTTACTCTAGTAATAATATATTATACATTTTTGTCATTTCAGACGCTCAAATCAGGCAAGCTTCATCACAAGCATTGAAAAATATATCCGACGCGGACACAAAGCTAAAAAAGACTCCAATCAATAAGACCAGTAACAAAAGAGACAATCGTGACAGGGGGCAAACAACAGACAGGAGTCGAGACAGCCTTATGTATACAGATGATGACGAGCAACCTAATGCGAAAATTGACCGTGTTGTTATGAGACATAAGGAGGACAAAAATAAAAAGGAAGAAGTTCATAAAACTAAAAATAATGATAATGTAAAAAGAGACCAAGATGAAACAACCAATAATATACAGAAGCAAAGAAAAGATGAACCTTGTAGTAAAAATAACGAAAGAAGTAATAATATTAAGACGCCTGAATCAAGCATCAAAACTTCCAAACCTAAAGATGACAAAAGAACTCATGGCAGCCAAAGAAAAACAGAGAAAGAGAATAGGAAGAGACGTAGATCAGAGGATAGTGACAATGAAGGTAAAGTTATGTTTTCTTATTCTCTTAGACATTTCTAAGTAGTTCATTATAATATACAGCACTAAAAGCCTCACTCAAAATAAAACACATTCAAGAAGTTGGAATGAGGTTTCATCCTAAACCCTTGTTAAAGCTGTTATTAACTTACATATTTAAAAAAAAAACGTTACCTTTACACTAGAAATTTCTCGTGGGGACAGTTTCTGTTACGGCCCTCAGTTGCCCCGACAGAAGTCGACCGGACTAGGGTCCATGAGTAGCTCACTCGACGGGCAACCAGAGGGTTCGGGCCCAAATGGCCTATGGATAATTATTATGTAATGGCTGGATAAACGAACACAAACTTACCGAGTTCCGGAGGTAGGGTCGACCACAAGGTACCGTCAGGGGTAAGTATGTGGGTGTAAGTGGTGTGATAAAGTGTATAAATGTAACCTGACTTCACCGATGTAATCGGGCAGCAGACCCACATGCGCTGCTCTGCTCCACCATGTGCGATCACTCCAGTGGGCGTTCACCTTTATGTGAACTCAAGTCTAACGTCACTTAGCACAAAATTGTAATAGAAGACGAACGCGATCTCCTATCGGGTCACAAATTTTTAGCGTTCTAACCGACAAGGGAAAAATGTCTTCGTACGATATTAAAATGCCACACAAGCAACTCGTCGACGCAAATTAATGGCAATCGAAGTTAAGTTAATCACTCAAAACTCAAGAAAAGCCTCGTTGTCACGTAAACGCACGAAAAAGACAACGCAATCAGAGGCGGTCGTCACGCGACCGAACGATTCGAGCGTAACTTCCAGACTCATCAGCACACGGCCGCCGCGGGCAAACGAAAACGCCGGCCCAAGCCGTCAAACCGGTTGGTAACCCACACGTCAGGCGGTGACCTAAATACTATCGGATGAACGCGCCGAGACGAGCGTTTGAATGCAAGTTTTACTTATCTTCACGCACAATCCCTGACGGGGTAGCCAGAGAGAACAGATCGCCAAGTGTCACGATCGGTACCAACACTGCGTTATGTATTGCAAGGCGTGCACTCTTCACTACGCCTTGCCTTTTGACTAACGCAGTCAGGGCACCATTGACTTTGTTCCCGGCAGCGACACGCCTGTCCACATCTAAATCACATCTTCCATCCCGGCTAAAAGCACTCCCCAAGTATACAATTTCATTTACTTGTTCTAGACATTCCTGATTTACCCATATTTCACACTTCGTTCTCTCTTCGTCCCTTTCAAATACCAGAACCTTAGTTTTATTAGCGTTCAAACGGAGACCTTTAATTTCACATTCCTCTTTCATACACGTGACTAATGCCTGCAGTTCTGCCTCTGATGGTGCAATAAGCACTGCATCATCAGCATACAGCAGACAATTTACTTTAATGTCACCCAATTTCACACACCCAAACAGCTATTTTTCAGCTTTTGTAAACAGCTGTCGAGATACAGTATGAACAGCCAGGAAGACATGACACAACCCTGTTTTACGCCCGTATGGACGCTAAACATGGGTGACAGGTCATGCCCTACCCGCACATAGGCTTTACAGTCACAGTAAAGAGACTGCACAGCCCTTAGCAATCGACCATCCACACCATACCCCGGCAACAGTTCCCACATTTTCTTCCTTACAACCTTATCAAATGCTTTCTCAAGATCCACAAAAGCACAGAAAATCTTCTGGTTAGCAGCCAGAAGCTTCTCCGTGATCATGCGGAGAGAAAACATTTGATCCGTGCATCCTCTTCCAGGTCTAAATCCGCATTGTGCCTCCCATAGAAATCTTTCCGATTTCTCTTGCATCCTACGTGTCAAAACCTTCGAGTAAACTTTACTTGCTAAACTGGTCAAGCTGATCGCCCGATAGCACCCGCAGTCAAAATGTGAACCTTTACCTTTATATAAAGGCACAATGACTGCGGATCGCCAATCATCCGGGACATCCCCCGTCCGCCAGCACAAATTGCACAGCAGATGAAAGCTGTCCCAGACGCGAGGCCCACCATACTTGACCATTTCAGCAGTAACTCTGTCTAGTCCCGCAGCCTTGCCACATTTCAAACTTCGAATCGCACGTTCAATCTCTTTCATACTGATGATCTTAGTGTCATCGAGGTCCGGGTCTGGCGTACCAGTCACGGCGTCATCCCCGGATCCCTCACTAAGATCATCACACGCATACATTTCTCTATAAAATTCGCTCCATCGCTGCATGACGTCAGTTTTAAATGTTAAGATTTGGCCTAAACAAACCCCCGTCCCGGACATAAGGACTTATGTCCGCGAGTAAATTGGCAAACGGGATAGGGTCGCGACGGCACGTTGCAAGACCGAATCTCCAACCAAAACCTCGGCCACCCTAGGCGCCCCATCCGATCCATACGACAACTTAACAATGCGCCCACGGCGCCAATACAAATGCAAAGCGTTGGGTTCTTTAACCAACACGAGGTCTCCAACCCGAGGAGGATCCGTCTTGTCAGACCACTTAACGCGCTGCTGCAAAAGATGTAGGTACTCCAGAGACTATCGGTGCCAAAAACTCTGAGTCATCTGTTGCAGCAGGTCAAATCTGCTCAACCGCGAAGAGTTTATTTCCCTGAAGGGGTACTCGGGCAGGGCGTTAAGCGGCTGGCCAATCAGGAAGTGGCCCGGGGTTAGAACCTCCTAATCATTCGAATCGGACGAGAGGGGACAGAGAGGCCGAGAGTTGAGTACCGCCTCAATTTTACAGAATACAGTGGCAAGCTCCTCAAATGTCAAAATAGTTTCGCCAATAACGCGATGGAGATGCGTTTTTGCAACCTTAACCACCGCCTCAAAAATACCGCCCCAGTGTGGGCAAGCCGGAGGGTCGAATTTCCACTGGACGCCCTTCTTGGACATCGCAGTACCTAAATAAGTCCTGTTGCTGGACAGAAATTCGACGACTTCTTTCAAATATCTATCCGTGCCCTCATAATTCGTTCCGCAATCAGACCGGATCAGGTCCGGCAAACCGCGACGCGATACGAAGCGGTCCAGCGTGGCTACAAAGGCTTCAGTGCTGAGGGCACTTACAAGTTCTAAGTGAACGGCCTTAGTGGCGAGGCACACGAAAACGCACAGATAGGCCTTATGTGAACGCGCGTTACGGAGGTTGGAGGACTTGACGATGAAGGGGCCAGCAGTCTGTTCCAACTCCAGCGAATGGTCGAATGGCCCTGACGCGGTCGGGTGGTAAGTCACCCATCATAGGCTGCGATATGGTGACCTTCAGTTTATAACAAGGTATGTACTTAAAGAGGACGCTCCGAATGGTGCGTCGGCCAGCCAAAATCCAAAACTCCCGCTGCAAAATAGCCGAAAGAGCGTTACACCCAGCGTGGGCATTCTTAACATGATGGTGAGTTACCAGCAACCGAACAAGGGCGCCGTCCTTAGGGAGCAGTAACGGGTGTCGAGCCCCGTACGGCAGTTGAGAATTTTTTAAACGTCCGCCAACGCGCAGCATCCCAGCGTCGTCCAGGACAACGGAGCCCCGCTTCAAGGTTTCAATCACGGGCTCAAAATGCTCCGCTTGGACCATACGGGTCCAATGCATCAAAGCTTCGCGACGCTCGTTAGGGGACAAAACGGAATCAGAGATTCGGTTGGACGGGTCGCAACCATGCAGTCACTCCTAAGAGCTTATCGAGAGAGCTGTACCGTTCTCGCAGGGAGAAATCCCGAGTGGGCTTATCCTTGCCCACTCCTACTCGGGCTCGTAGGCCAAGCAATTCAATCGGTTCGGAGAATTTATTCTGGGGCCAGAATGACTGAGACTCAGTCAACCAACTGGGACCCCACTACAGCGGGTGGTCGACCAAAGAGGGGGCTTCACAGCCGCGAGAAGCGCAGTCTGCGGGATTCAACTCCCCTGGGACATGTCTCCAGTTTAGAGACGTCCCAGAATTCTGGATTTGAGACACGCGGTTCGCCACAAAGACCTCAAGATTGTGTGGTGCAGCCGTCCGCGTAGACGTCCGTAATGTCGATTACAGACTTCAAAGATGAGTGAACGTGGTTGAGGAGTCGCGAGAGAAGAGCGGCTCCGGACAGTTCCAATTTAGGGATAGTTAAGCGGGACCTAATGGGAGCAACCTTGCTTTTAGCAAGTACGAGATGGACGGAAGTATGGCCAGAAGAGCTCACAGTCCGCAAATATACGACAGCAGCATAGCCTTTCTCAGAGGCGTCGCAAAATCCATGTAGGGTAGCCCTGCATTTCCCTGGAGGGATGAAGCACCTTGGCATGGAGACACGGTTGATGTCCGGAAGAGAGGACACAATGGAGAGCCACTCTCGCAAGAGAGCACCGCTAATAGGCTCGTCCCAACCCAACCCGGATATCCAGAGCTTTTGAAGAAAGCACTTAGCCAAAAAAATGATCGGAGTGATCCATCCGTTAGGATCGAAGGTGCGGGCTACTGTAGACAGCACGGAGCGCTTGGTCCAATGCTTTAGGAGAGGGATCGAGTTTGACTCGATACGTGAAAGTATCCTGAACAGGCTGATATTGAACGCCCAGCACAGTCAACAAATTAGGATTTTCAGGGTGCTCGAATAGATGAGGGTCTTGTTGATCCTCTCCTGGGAGATCCTTCAAAATATGAGGGGAGCTCGACAACCATTTGCGCAACTCATAACCTCCGGACATCAGGATGGCAATCAATTCGTCTCGCAATACAAGAGCCTCCTCGACGGTGGAGGCGCCCGTGCAAATGTCGTCCAAAATAGAAGCCCCCCGAGCGTATTCTAGACGCTCTCTCTCAGCGAGTTTGAGGAGGGTTTGCATGGCGATATACGGGCTGGACCGGAGTCCATAGGTGGTGATGTTCAACTCAAACACCTGTATCGGATCGCTGGGCTTCTCGCGCCTCAATATCAGCTGATATCGACGGTCATCACGATGGATCACGGATTGTCGAAACATCATCCGTATGTTGGCTACAAAAACCCACTTGGTGCCGACGGAAGTGGGTCAAAATTTCAGATATGTCCTTGATCAATTTGAGACCAGAGTGGAGACACTGGTTCAGGGACACACCATTTGACGAGGGGGGGAGCCGTCAAAAACTACACGAATCTTACTCCCAGGGGTCCTCAAGACCGCATGGTGAGGGAGGAAGTAGTGCTTCTGTTACCGCCAGTCGAAGTTGGACGGTGACATGTGACCCAGCTCTTGATACTCGCGCATGAACTCTACATATTTGTCGCGAAAGGCTGGATCGCGCCGCATACGGCGCTCCATGGAAAGCAACCTCTTTTCGGCCAGGGTACGAGATTGGCCCAAAGGGGCCGTGAGTCAAGAAAGGGTAAGCGAGTGACAAAACGACCGTCGACACGACGGCCGGTATTGATCTGGTAGAACAACTCGCACTCACGGTCCAGAGGGTTGACTCGAACCGCGTGTGGTGGCTCCTCAATTTCCCAGAACCGCTGGACGACGTCCGAAAGGGACACGCCCACAAAAGAGAGCGGGTCGGCCGTCTGAGGAGGTAGAGACCACAGAACCGGTCCAAAGAAGCTGTGCCCAAATACAGTGGACATGGCTGACAAGCCATCGGGCTGTAGGGCTCGTATCTCGCCGAACAAGATGAACCCCAGCGCGTCGGCCCCCAGCAACAAATCTATAGGCCCAGGTTGGGACCATTGAGGGTCTGCCGGTCTCAAACCCGACGCATTACGAACTGCGCTGTCTTTTATACGGACGTTAGGGAGATAGAACAGTTCGACAAGTGAACTGTTGACGGCTCAAAGGATCAGTGGAGGCGGCCGTGGTGGGAGCTAGGGCGGCAGCTACCTAGCTGGAGCTGCCTCCATCGGATCGGCACTCGAACCGGGGGTCCGGAAAGCGGCATACCGGCGGCATCTGAATGACCCGTGGTTGAAAATCACCGAACGGGCCGACCTGGGGAGCTTCGGGGAACCTCAGCCTTGAGGCCCGGGACAGATTCGAGGTAGTAGGAACCCCGTAGTACCGGTACCGACCAAAGGGGGGAGGGTGGTATTCCAGTCGCGGCCACTCAGCTAACGGGGGTGAGAAGCCGCTGGTGCGGGCAGTCTCGTTGGAGGTACCTTTCAAAGCACGAGTAGCACCAGCGGCGCTCCTTGGCGATGTCTCGCCTCGCCGGGACCGGCTTACCCAATAACTTCGGACACGACGTCACCTGGTGATCGGACGCTCGACAATAGGAGCAGGGGGGCGCCTCCCTGGCCGCTAGGCCGCTATAAGATGGTAGGGAGCGGCGCCCTCCCGTGGGAGCTCCGCTCGGCCTTAGGGGGGTTAGCCACGACTTGGCCGGCGGATTCCGCCTCTCCCTGGGCACGGCTCGGTTAGCAACCCGTAGGTCGTCGACGGTGCCCGCTGCGTTCTCAATTTGCCGGCACTGCTCCTCCAAGAACCGCAGTAGGTCCCTGAAGGGCGGAATATAGAAGGCGCCGTCCCCGCCGTACCTCTCCTCAAAATGGATCCGAAGATAGAGAGGCAAGCGGGACAGCACGATTTGGAGCAACAAGAAGGACCATTCGTCCACCGGTAAATCCAGCCGCCTCTGTGAACGTGAAGTGAACGTGAAGTGAACTCAAGTCTAACGTCACTTAGCACAAAATTGTAATCGAAGACGAACGCGAAATTTTTAGCGTTCTAACCGACCAGGGAAAAATGTCTTCGTACGATATCAAAATGCCACACAAGCACCTCGTCGACGCAAATTAATGGCAATCGAAGTTAAGTTAATCACTCAAAACTTAAGAAAAGCCTCGTTGTCACGTAAACGCACGAAAAAGACAACGCAATCAAAGGCGGTCGTCACGCGAGCGAACGATTCGAGCGTAACTTCCAGACTCATCAGCACACGGTCGCCGCGGGCAAACGAAAACGCCGGCCCAAGCCGTCAAACCGGTTTGTAGCCCACACGTCAGGCGGTGACCTAAATACTATCGGATGAACGCGCCGAGACGAGCGTTTGAATGCAAGTTTTAAATGTTAAGATTTGGCCTAAACAGTTTCCATACATAAATTTCTCAAGGACAAATATCGTCACCTCGTGAGCCAGGTCCAGATACTTTGTTCGTTTATCTGTTTCGGCTTTCACGAGGTTCTCGTCATACGGAATGATAATGTCGACCAAAAATAAAGGCAGTTTCCGATTAACGAGACCGTATTTCAGAGCGAGCTCCTGGTGTAGAATCCTGGCTACTCAGTTGTGCCTATGCAAGTACTCAGAGTTATAAAGCGCCGAACAACCAGAGATGACATGCCTAAGTGATTCACCGGGATGGCGACAAGCTCGACAGATCAGACAGAAGCGCCATCCCTTAGGATGTATCTCCGATAGTTGTTGGTCTTAATAACCTGATCCTGTATTGCACAGGCAAAACCCTCGGTTTCCCCAAAGAGGTCACTAAAAATGTAGCCAGTGGAGGGAGGCAACTGTGTCTACGAAAGGCTCATGTAGAGCCTTGTAGTACCTCCCGTGGAGCTTCTCCTTCCATACGGTCTCCCGGTCGGAAATGTTCTGTACTGCGGGGTCTTGCTATTGGTCGTTGACTAAGGATAGCGGAGTAAGTCCTTTATCTTAAGAAATACCGTCCCTATAGAATAGATCATCCGCTCTCGTCAGAAAGTAATTACGGAGGCTGCACACTTCGCGATTATGCATGGTAAGCGCGGTTAATAAGCCGCGCCCACCATGCTTCCGAGGCAAGCACAGCCTCATTACTGACGATCTCGGATGATGCATCCTGTGGGACATCATAATAGTGCGGACTTTTCTGTCCAGAGCGTTCAGTTCGGTCTGAGTCCACCTGAGTATGCCAAATGTATACATAAAAACAGGCATGATCCAACCGTTATATGCGTGTGTATTATTAACGCCCGACAAAAGACTGTTAAGCACTTTTGTTAAGCGTGCATAAAACACATCGCAAATTGACTGTTTCATGTCCGCCTCAGACCTCAAATAGGGTCTTAGATAAGTCTATGCCCTCATAGTTAGCATCCCTAACCCTTTCGACATGGAGGACCACACACTTATCCGTCCCCAGCTCCATTCTAATAGAACTGCTAAAATCACAAGTGATGTTTAGCAGTTCCATAAGATGAGAGCGACTGGAGGCGAATAACTTGAGATCATCCATATAGAAAAAATGGGTAACTTTTGTACCTCTTTTCCGAAGCTAAAATCCCCTCCCGGCACTTTCCAGTAAGGTACTGAGAGGGTTCAGAGAGAGGCAGAACCAGATTGGACTTAAACAATCGCCCTGGAAGATACCCCTTCTTATTCTTATGTGGTACTCCGCAGCCGTCATCCGCTCGCCTAGATGACAAAGGATCGTACTCCACTGTCCCATACACTGCCCGAGGAAGTCTCGAACTGTACAGTCAACCTTGTACAGCTCGAGGACCCTCTTAAGCCATGTATGAGGCACCGAGTCGAATGCCTTTTTGTAGTCTATCCAGGCGGCGGAGAGGTTCCGACGGTTGCGTTTAACCACTTTGCCAATGATCGCGTCAATGAGGAGTGGTTCCTTGGTTCCACGCTCCACCGCCCCGACATCACTTGATTTGAGTCCAGGTGACGAGTGATTCTCGCGCTCAAAATGGATGTTAGTGTCTTGTATATGGTAGGTAGACACGTTATGGGGCGGTATTTGCTCGGGTGTGTGGAATCCAGAGTTTACGATGCATGCATGGGATCTAAAACAGGAGATGGGCAGTAGGGCCACTTCACCTTTTAACAACTCAAAAAAATAAAACGCGGTTGCCAAGCCTGGTTGCAAAATCTATGGAGGAGGCCTATGTTCAGCAGTGAGTTTATATAGGTTGTAATAGATGGATGCAACCATGCATCTGGAATCCCAAATATGTCAATCATTAATGATAAGCGCCGGAAAGATAAGGTATATCACACACTTCAATTTAAAACTTCTTTCTCACATAAGTTCTTTTGCTTTCTTGGACAAAATCTATACAACAAATTAAATAGCATCCTTAATATATATCCTAAAACCAAATTTAACAGTAAAATAACATTAAAAAACTATTTAAAAAATCTAGATTATGAAAAAACAGAGCACCTTTTGACTGTACTTAAATAATCCTTAATTCAAGATATATCTACTCATAGCCGTTAACTCCATACTCGCAACACACAGACACATATATACACATTTACCCTCCCAAAAATCGCTTCGTACATACATCTGTACTCACACACTTATTGACACTTCACGAACTTAAACAACTTATAATTTCTGCAACATTTTATACATTCTTTTTATATCAATAGCTTTTATTGGTTTTAATTATGCCACTAATTCTGTCCGTGGGTTGAGAGCTCTGGCGACCTGTAACACAGGATTTTTTACAAAAACCTACTTCAGGCACCAGTCTCCCACAAAGCTGAAACTAATTATGGCAAATTGTTAATCTAAAAGTACTATTTGTGAAGAGATAATAAATGGTTTATTATATTATTATATATATTAAGAAAAAAAGAACTAACAGATGCTAAGTTTTCTTGCCGAATTAATGCAAAGGTCCGAAACGACTTCGGTGTCTAGCGTGCTTGTCTGTTCTTCGGAGCACACTGAGGCTGAGGTATTCACACTTCATGACAACTGTATAAGCTTGGAGCATGTGGACGCATGCCGAGACTTTGTAAAAGTTTAAACATAGCATTTAGTTCTGTTTTCGAAACAGTTGCAGTTGATGTCGATGTTACTTGGGAGAGGCCTGTGTTCAACAGTGGATGGTGAGAGCCTCATGATGCCGATGATGAATTGGTTTCAGAAGGCGGTCCGGTATGCGCGGAGGAGAGTGCGGTGTTGCGCGGCGTGGTGTTTGCACTGAGCGGCTTCGTGCACCCCGAGCGCGGGGAACTGCGGGACGCCGGGCTGGCGCTCGGCGCGCGCTACCGCCCCGACTGGACGCACGACTGCACGCATCTCGTGTCAGTGCTCACTGCTCACTGCTCACTGCTCACTGCTCACTGCTCTTGTACACGTGCACTCGTGCACCCGAGCGCGGGGAGCTGCGGGACGCCGGGCTGGCGCTCGGCGCGCGCTACCGCCCCGACTGGACGCACGACTGCACGCATCTCGTGTCAGTGCTCACTGCTCACTGCTCACTGCTCACTGCTCACTGCTCACTGCTCTTGTACACGTGCACTCGTGCACCCGAGCGCGGGGAGCTGCGGGACGCCGGGCTGGCGCTCGGCGCGCGCTACCGCCCCGACTGGACGCACGACTGCACGCATCTCGTGTCAGTGCTCACTGCTCACTGCTCACTGCTCACTGCTCACTGCTCTTGTACACGTGCACTCGTGCACCCGAGCGCGGGGAGCTGCGGGACGCCGGGCTGGCGCTCGGCGCGCGCTACCGCCCCGACTGGACGCACGACTGCACGCATCTCGTGTCAGTGCTCACTGCTCACTGCTCTTGTACACGTGCACTCGTGCACCCGAGCGCGGGGAGCTGCGGGACGCCGGGCTGGCGCTCGGCGCGCGCTACCGCCCCGACTGGACGCACGACTGCACGCATCTCGTGTCAGTGCTCACTGCTCACTGCTCACTGCTCACTGCTCACTGCTCTTGTACACGTGCACTCGTGCACCCGAGCGCGGGGAGCTGCGGGACGCCGGGCTGGCGCTCGGCGCGCGCTACCGCCCCGACTGGACGCACGACTGCACGCATCTCGTGTCAGTGCTCACTGCTCACTGCTCACTGCTCACTGCTCACTGCTCTTGTACACGTGCACTCGTGCACCCGAGCGCGGGGAGCTGCGGGACGCCGGGCTGGCGCTCGGCGCGCGCTACCGCCCCGACTGGACGCACGACTGCACGCATCTCGTGTCAGTGCTCACTGCTCACTGCTCACTGCTCACTGCTCACTGCTCACTGCTCTTGTACACGTGCACTCGTGCACCCGAGCGCGGGGAGCTGCGGGACGCCGGGCTGGCGCTCGGCGCGCGCTACCGCCCCGACTGGACGCACGACTGCACGCATCTCGTGTCAGTGCTCACTGCTCACTGCTCACTGCTCACTGCTCACTGCTCTTGTACACGTGCACTCGTGCACCCGAGCGCGGGGAGCTGCGGGACGCCGGGCTGGCGCTCGGCGCGCGCTACCGCCCCGACTGGACGCACGACTGCACGCATCTCGTGTCAGTGCTCACTGCTCACTGCTCTTGTACACGTGCACTCGTGCACCCGAGCGCGGGGAGCTGCGGGACGCCGGGCTGGCGCTCGGCGCGCGCTACCGCCCCGACTGGACGCACGACTGCACGCATCTCGTGTCAGTGCTCATTGCTCACTGCTCACTGCTCACTGCTCACTGCTCTTGTACTACTTCGGTTCCGGTCGTTGTACTGATCGGACGTGTCGCGAGCTCGCGTTTTTCGTATATTCTCTTTTTATTTGCGTTATTTATAGTTATTTATGTTGTTTTATAGTGCTTTTGTTATATATACTCTTATCTTACTGTACAGTATAATATCAGTGTTAGTTGGTGCGAATTAACGCTTAAATGGATTACTTTTGTGGATTATTGTGACATTTTTACTTAGTGGGTAGTTGGGATTGGCTTCTGTCGTGTTGTTCGAGTGCCTTCTGGAACCTTCGGTGGCTACTCGCCGCCAGGGGGTGATAGTGTGCACTTCCGGCACTGCAACGCCATCTGCGGGCGCCGTGCGCGCAACCATTACGGTTTGTGCTGTCTGTGCCTGGCAGGGCCGGTGTGGCGTCTGTTGCGCCGCGCGCCGCTGAGTGGCGCTAGGTGTGTGTCCGCACCTCAGCGACACCTATTTAAGCTAAGTACTATTAACTGTGAAAGTGACACTTTAGCTATAGTTTTGTTGTATTTTTATTAGTTTAGGATATTGCCGCCAGATGGCGCCACTATAGTTGTAAGTCAGCGACATCTCGTGGCTGGGCTGTGATAGTGACACTTTTAGTTTTTAATTTATTTTGTACTTTATTATATTGTTTTAGTCCGAGTGTGTCCCGCTAGAGGGCGCTTATGTGCGTTTGACATATATCTGGCGACCACTTGGGTCACCATAAAATTTTCCGGACTTAGAAAATTTTTAAAATTTTTAGGACCTTTTTGCTGCTCATATACGTGGACTATTGAAAATGCCCCTCCGGCGGCTTAATTTTCAAAGTTAGAAAGCTTTCATAACTTTTTAGTTTTTAAATATTTCTTTGTGTTTTTTGGACTGAACCACTTAAATATTGACATTGCATAGTATAAGTAGGAAATTGTGAAAATGGGGGACGAACCCCCCCTATTTGTCCCAAGAAAATCTTTGGCGCGCACGCCCCCTGGAGGGGCTTCAGTGAGGCCTGCTGGTCCCAGTATGCCGAACCCTAAGGGTGGCTCGAGCGGTACGGCTGAAAAGCGGCCTTTAACGTCCCCGGATCAGCAGCAGCCTGTGACGCAGCGACAAAAAATTGAAAAAGAAAAGGAAAAAGACAAGAAGAAAGCTGGGACTGCGGCCCCAGGTGCAGTGACTGTAGAACGGACTAGGTCAGCGCTTGAGGAGGACCTGGAAATCATGGAGGAGGAGTTTGATGCTTGCAAGGCTTCACCCTTGCAAATAATAGAACATACAAGGGCGGCAGTAAATACGATCATGGGAATCGTCTCTGGTCCAGGATCCAAATTGAATAAAATGGAGGTAAACAAAGTTTCGGTAACCGGGCAGGACATGATTGCAATGATGGCGGCGATGCAGGTACATGTTATGGAGGCTCAGCTTGCGCTTTGCAAAGCTGAGCGGGACAAAGCAGAAGCAGAAGCGAAGCTGGCGCGCCAGGTGGCCGCGTGTATACCCTCAGGTGACGGTGACCACGCCCCAGCCGCAGGTCCAACATTTGCAGCAGCACTAAGGATGCCAAAGGGCGTTGCTGCCATGCCTATTCCGGAGAAGTCTGGTCCGGTTCTCGCCTTTTACCCAGCTGACGAGCAAGAACACCTCAAGACGGCAGACGATACCAAAGCTGAGTTGAAAAAGGCAATTAATCCATCTGAGATCAATATTCAGGTCTCTAAGCTGAGGAAGATTGGAAATGCTGGGGTTGTGGTCCAGACCACGTCCAAGGAGTCAGCACAGAAACTGAGAACTGCAGCACCACCTACCTTAAGGGTTGCAGAGCCTCGACAGCGCCAACCATTGGTTGCGTTGCGTGGCTTCGAGGATGACGTAAAGTCAGAAGAAGTCCTGCCGGCCCTCCACGACCAGAACTTTGGTGGGGATGAAAAGTGGACCCTGGAGGAGCTGAAGAAGCAGTGCAAAATTGCATTCAAGAAATCTTGGAAGGGGAGCAGAAGAACCACGGTGGTGCTGCAGTGCACCCCTGCGCTGCGGGATGTGCTGACCTCCAGGTATAGACTTTACATAGGGTGGGACGTGGTAGAGCCGTGCGATTTTATAGACGTCACCTGCTGCCAACGATGCCAGCAATACGGGCACCCTGCTAAATATTGCAGGGCAAAAGAGGAGACATGCGGCAAATGTGGAGAAGAGGGTCACAGCCGAGAGGCCTGCAAATCAGCCGACACTTGCTGTGCTACTTGTCGCAGGTTTGGCAAGCCGGGCGCAAGGAACCATGCCACGATGGCGAAGACGTGCCCGGCTAGGGTATACGCGGAGGAGAGGGCGGTCAACACTACACAGTATGGCGGATAAAAATTACTTATCAATTGGACAGCTCAATTTGGGGCGCGGCGAGATGGCCACCAAGGAGCTCCCTGCACTTGCGAGGGACCTGGACTTGGATATTTTCCTAGTCCAGGAACAGTGGCCGCAGGTGCAGGAAGTAGTACAGTTCGGCGATGGATCGCAGGCTGGCATCAAGGTCTGCAACGGAAATTTGGGTGTGGCTGGATTGCCTCACCTAAGTAATCCCTACTGTGTAGTGTGCCATGTGGAGAAGTACGGTCTCTACATCGTCTCGGCTTATTTTAAATATAGCCATAACATTGATTATCACCTGCAACATCTAGAGACCGTACTTGACCAGTTGAAAGGCAAGCGCGTTGTAATTGGAGTGGATTGCAACGCGCACTCGCCACTCTGGTTCAGTGAGGCTGAACAGATCGTAGGTAGGGGCCATGAAGCTGCTTACCGTCGTACTGCCATGGAGGATTTTATAACGTCGCGGGGATTGGTGATAGTCAACGTGGAAGGCCAACCGAGCACCTTTTCGGGTGCAATGGGTGAGTCCAATATAGATGTCACTCTTTCCTCCAGAGGAGTCTCGATTACAGGGTGGCGAGTCCTGGACTGCGTCAGCTCGAGCGACCATCGGCTCATAATATACAAAGTTGGAGGAGAACCACATGCGAGGCTCCCGGGGCCGGTGGAGGTCCCTGCCCGTTTTCGGGACCGGGGGGTGAACTGGGGCTTCTTTCGTGGAACTATTCATGTACGAATGGGCGCATTGAAAGTAAGGCAGCCGGCTGATCGTCTTTGTGTGCAGTTCACTGACATTGTGGTTCGATCTGCGGAAGATGTCCTGGGGAGTGCTCGCCCTAGACGGGAGGTCGGCTATGAGTGGTGGACGCCTGAACTTGACAGAATGAGGAAAAAAGTATGTGATGCGAGAAGGGCATGGCAAAAGACTAGAAGAAAAGGAGGCAGGTCTGAGGAATTAGCTATGGAACGATTCCATAGTGTGAGAGCGCGATATAGACAGTTGATGGGGGATACGGAATTGGCCCATTTTAGAAAAATCTCGGAGATGGGAAATGCTGACCCATGGGGACGTGCATATCAGATCTCTAGCGGGAGATATCGTCCTCCCAGTAATATCATTAATGCCATTGAGTACGCGGAGCGACATTCGGGGGGGGTGAGGGAGGCCGTGCGGGGCCTGCTCGGGGCTCTGTGTCCGGACGATGATTCGTCCAAGGACACTGAGTTTCATGGGCGGGTGCGTCTCATGGCCGCCT